GCGATGTTTATGAAATATGAGCTTAAAAATTGAATAGCGAGGACATCTGGCGGGATATTAAAACAACTCTGAATAATTTGTCAATACTTTCAAGTCTTTTTATAACATGTTCAAAACAATTTTATAAAGATGATGGAAAAAAAGGGCAATCGCTTAAAAGTTCATTTACTGTTTCTCCAACAGATTGGCATAAGACCTGCAACATATTTCATACGAAGCCTGAACTCAATGTGGGTGTGTTATCTACTGCTGTAAAGGGCATGAATTTGAGTGAGATATGGAGGAACAGCGAATATTTAAAGATACAGAATCGTTCTGGATTGGTAAGTTTTGATTTAAGTTTCTTCAACCGAGCGTATGTGTGAGGTCTTTAATTGTACTATTACTAAAGCTCTGTTTCTCAAGCCGGGGAGCCTGCCCCCTAGGAGGGGCGTGATAGCCCTACGCGAGGGGCGCAAGGATATTGAAAAGTCGAAAATAAATCCCCCTTAGTAAGAGGGCTGCGGTAGCCCAGTGGTCAAGGTATCGGATCATGGCAGGCATGTCATGGGTTCAAGCCCAGTACCACTAAAGACCCGCCGCATAGGGCAGCGATGCACGTTAAATCTGTCGAGATTTGAAACGTCCTCCCATTGGTGTGGTGGGGCAGTTAGGAGAGGCTGGCTCAGGTGTCGTCCACGTCACTTGACTAAGATTCAAAATTACTTGGTCCGTCGCCAAAAGCACTCGGGTAGCTGAACATTGCGACGTTAATATTCACTCACCCGTTTTGTAAGCCCAAGGTTCCAGGTGCGACCCCAGCTGGAGTCAATAGATTTTCTGGATGCGGAATTGGTAGGCATGCATGTCATGTGATTATGTGGCACATAAAAGATTCCTTGAGTATCAATTTGGCTCTAGTACTCTCGGCAAAATTAAATCAAAGCATTAAACATCCGACGAGAGCTTGAATTAAAATTCGAGCGACCAAATTTGGTAGCGAGGCCGCCAACAGATAGTGCCACCACACATAAAATGGCTCTCGCATCTGGGAACTTGCCGTGTCTGCAAAAGCTGCTAAAATGTAGCTCCATTGGGGAAAAATATACGACAGACCCACAAGCTGTGGATACTACGGAAGGATTGATAATCCTTTCAGATTCTAAATCGGCCTTATAGGTCATAAGCGGAGAGTCTAATATCTTCATAAATTTCCTACTCGTACAGATGCATCACCTGTGTGCTACAATGGATACCTGCACATGAGCAATCAGCGCTCTCGTTTCTTGGCTAAAGAAGCCAGAGACCATAGCCAACCTTGTACTACCATTTCACTGCTGATGCAAACGCTGTGGCCAGATCTAGAATTTTATCCCAATCTCTTAAGGCTGTCTTCGGTAAAAGTACGAGAGCTTGAATTAAACGCGAAGCACATTTTCAGACAGAAAAATGCCTCAATTTCCATGGAAATTTGCAATATTATAACTCATACCTCTGTTAACAATATAGTGTTTTCAAAAATTGTAAAATATTTCGTGAATACTTTTTTTTTCGTTTTAATACGCGTGAAGACATAGCTCATTTAACATTACAGTATAGGAGCAAAAACGCAAAACACATTTTATACCAGAAAAAATGAATAAACACTGTTAAAAACGGGAAGTATGATAAAAAAAATTTCTGCTCTCCAAAGGATAGTGAAGCCAGAATATCGTATTAATGTTTCATTTCTTTTATATCTGAAAAAAATGTTCCAAATTCGGGTCTTATTCTTTAACTTTACCGAAGACAGCCTTAAGAAACCACTCATTAGACTTCGATTGCGCAAGAGGGCTGCGGTAGCCCAGTGGTTAAGGTATCGGACCATGGCAGGCATGTCATGAGTTCGAGCCCTATACCACTGAAGACCCGCCGTGTAGGGCAGCGATGCACGTTAAATCTGTCGAGAGCTGAAACGTCCTCCCGTTGGTGTGGTGTGGTAGTTAGGAGAGGGGGGTGCCAGCTCAGGTGTCGTCCACGTCACTTGACCATGGTTCAAAATTACGTGGTCCGTCGCCAAAAGCCCTCGTGTAGCTGAACAGTGCGACGTTAATATTCACTCACTCACTCGATTGCGCAAGAATCGTAACATGCAAAATCACAAGACTAAGAACTCGTCATTACAAGGGCATGAAAACCCATCCTGAAAAAAACAAGATCTTGCATACAGTGTTAAATCTGCCCGGAATTCCAACCACTTACACCAAATCATATCTTCCAATGCCCCAGCTTTAGAAGTTCTGGACCAACTTGAGTTCGGACTCAAGTTTGGACCAACTTGAAGTTCGGTCTTACTCCTCTTATGGACCTACTGCAGGAGATAATCTACAGTGTACAGTTCTCAAAGTGTGGGGCACGCCCCCCTAGAGGGGCGAGATAACCCTACCAGGGGGGCACGAGTATATCGAAAAGTTCAAAAGAAAAGATTGTTTTTTTTAAAAAAATGATTAATATATTGAAAAGAAGTAATAATAATAAATAAAATGACATAATAAATTCTGACATAATAAAAAAAACACATATTCACACTGATATAATACTTATAAATGTATCAGTATGCACAATGTGTTTCATAATTAATTTAACAGTGCTAAGTTAAGAAAAATTTAATAATTGCCATTGACCCTATGGGCATGTCATAAAGTTATATACAAAATTTAATACTTATCTTGATAATTTGTGCGATTTTTAAATTAAAATCGCGTGTTGTAGCCTTACGTCAAAGCATATTATTGAATTCAATACATTAATATTGTATGGAGGGGGGCGCGATGAAAATGATGGTTGAAAATTGGGTCGCAAGTATAGAAAGTTTGAGAAGCACTGCTCTACAGTCAGGAAGCTCTGGAGTCAGCAGCAGTTGTTTCTACCTTTGGTGGAATCTAGTTTTTTTTCTTTGCCAAATCCATGGGCACGAGAACAACAACAGTTAAATTTAAACAAAATATAATAACAAAAAGTAATTGTTCAGATTATAAAAAATACACTTTATTTAAAAGGAAATTATAAAACACCTCGATTGCATTTTTAAGGGATTCTATTTCTTTGAGTTCTTGCTCTACAATCTGTAGCTATTCTCACAATCTGTTCTTTAAACTCCTAACGCCCCGTACTCAAGAGATTATGACTCGAACCCGAACTTACAATAGGAGTAGATGCTATGACACAAGGAATAAGCACGAACATAAATGATTAATCAATTTATTTATCAATTTATCCTATTCAAGAGTTACGAGGATAATTAACTAGAATTTGAATAAGCAAAATTTAACTTACCTGAAAGATTGCAGGTACGTTGAAAGCTTGAGGTCTCTAATCCAACGACCAATAAAGTTTAGTCCAGATTTTTCATCTAAGTTTCACTATTAACGTCAATCGGTTTTTGGATATAGTAACGACGTATTATAAGTTAATAAATCTAATATTCAAAATTCAGTTATTCTGAGGGAGTCGCCAGCATTTAAATTAGCTGACAGTTCTAAAAATTTCCACACGCACTCTCGCTCACTCTTATATCTTAGAATTTAATCTGCATACTACATTTCCTATTTATGGAGGAGGCTGTTAAACTCTAAATGAAACTTCAAAGAACATTAACCCATGTATTAGTTTAAGAGGGAATTCTTGCGATCTTTTAAAAAAGCTCTTTTAAAAAAGCTCTTTTAAAATTCTCTTTTAAAAAAGCTATCTACTTAATTATTGAATTTATCATTTCGTATCTTTGAAGGATATTATTATTTTTTGACAAATTTGTAATGTTTTAAAATTTTTCTTCAAAAAAGTGCACAAAAATACATCACAATTTTTTAAGTTATCTTTTTAATAGATAGAAATATTTTTTTGCATTAGAGATATTTTGAATTTATAAGCTATCAAACTTTAATCTCTTCAGTTTCAAATCAAACAAACACTACACAATTGCATGTTTTTCCTATTTTTTATCATTGTTTGTGATAGTAAAAAATGTTCTTAAAAATACACTTCCCTATATAAAATCAATTTATTTTACCGCATTAAAGGGTGAATACTATAAGTACGAATAATTAAGAAGTTCAAGTTCTGAAGCATTCATTAAGAAAATAATTACAATTTCTTCATAAAAATATATTTATATATTTTTAAAATTCAATTTCAAAAATAGAAAATCGATGCTTTTATAAAAACAATCATTGATAATATATTCAAAATGTTAAGTACAAGTCAGAAAAGTTTCAAATAATACTTCCTTGTAGCTTTGAACAAGTGAATCAAAGTAAATTTAAAAATGGCGATAACAAACCGAAAGTATAAATTTTTTTTAAAATGGAAGAGAATCATACACGGAGAGTAATAATAAGAATGCAGTACTTTTATAAGAAAACCAATCTCTACTTCTTTGTAAATAGCTAGTTTATTGAAATTCAAGAAAAGTAGTTTGTAAATAAATTTAAAAGCCTCGGCTAGGTTTGATGTTTGAGATTTGTTTCCTTTTGTCTTAAATTGAGGTCAAATATTTCCCCAACCTTCGGAATCGTTTGCCCTTTAAGAAATTTAAATTTTATTCATTGTGCCGGATTTCATACAAATAGAACGTAATGAGGTAGTTTAAAGAGTAAAGTAAACAAAATGAAAAATGTTTTCTCCATGAATAAACAGTTATAGCGGTCTTAATAAAAGTATAACTACAGATTCAAATATTAATCCCAAAATCACAATACGTAATATAAAAAAAAATTAAGTCAATTCCTACTTAGGTCAACAAAGAAAACAGTTAATAATAAAATAAATAATTAATTACAATTAATATAAATATCTATATACATATGACACAGAATCCCAATATTAAGTGGCAAAATAGAAAGTGATTTTCCTTGCAATTTCCCATTTTCCTTTTTACATAGTGTGTTGGACTATTATTTTTGTTTCTTACTATTTACTCATTAATTAAATTTAATTATTCCAATAAAATAATATAGTAAAAAAATCATTCTCATAAATTAGGCCATCCCAGGTGGGATTCGAGTCCAGGATCTTTGGATTAGAAGTCCAACGCGCACTATCCATTGCGCTACAGGGATACAACGAGCAATTTTCCATTTTTTATATGGTGTTGGACTATTATTTTTGTTTGTTACTATTTATTCATTAATTAAATAGAATTAATGCATTAATGTATTTAAAAATGTATTAACATCATATGTCATCTACTACAAGTTTAAAAAAATGTATTTGAACTTGAGTGGATGGACAAAAAGTATTTTATTAACGATTGAAAATTTGAACGATATACATCTACATAGGGAGAGTGTGAACTAATAGTAGGAATTGAAAAAAATATCCCTTAAGGGTTTTTTTTTTGTTTTTTAAAGGAAAAAAAAACGAAGGTTTTTCTTACAATGCTTTATTAGATGATTTCAATATATACGCGTTATTAGTTGCGAATTTGAAACATTCCTGTTTAGGATCAATTATTACCTCTAATAACAGAATACCTCATGAAATCCAGAATCGATTGGCAAATAAGGCTTTTTATGGATTGAGTTTTTGAAAATCCAAATTTCTTTCAAGAAACACAATTTTTAATTTACAAAACTCTTATGAGACCAGTTCTGACATATACATTTTAGATTTGGAGAATAACAAAACTGGAAGAAAGTCGAATGGCATCTTTTGCGAAAAAATACTTCGAAGTATAATTTGAGGTGTAAGTGAAAACAATAGCTGGAGAAGATACAATTTTGAATTGTACAGAATTTATAAGCAACCTGACATCTCTAAATACATAAAAGTAAATAGAATTAATTGGATAGCCCATATAATTCGAATGCCAGGTGATAATGTTGCCAGATATGATGAACATTGGTTGTGTGCAGCACGTCGAGTCTGTAGGAAATTTTCTAGCCACGTTCTAGGAAGCATTTCAGGATCAATAATCTGACTATCACTGTAATTCGACTTATAATTTAATCAGCGTCACGAATTGCTATTCATGTTTCCCTACAAGAAGTCTTATGTCTAGAGATTTAGGTATTGGATTTCCGCTTTCCATTCAACGCCCAGGGAACTTTCTCTCTTCCACAAACCAGTGTCGTGGTGCCCCATTTGTGCTGTACAACATTTGCACATTTAAATTCAGTATATATATATATATAAACCATGCTATACAATTTATACTTGTCCTGATGGAGAAGCCATTTTGAAATGAGAATGTTGTAAGACGTGGACGTTGCACTATGCAGTTTGCATTTCATTAAGGTATCCGACTACGTTCGGAACCGTGATTTTGCAAAAGCGCATAAATGGATAATTTTCATGATATTTAGTGTCACTTAGATTATAATAGATGTATACAATTATTTTAAGGACATTTTGACAAAAAAAAATTATTTAAATACAATATTTTGGCAAAAAATTAACTTAGAATAATTTTTTTTTTCAAAATGTTCTTTTGTGAAAAATGCTTCTATTACAAAAATATTTTGCCTGTATATAGCTCAGACCTCTGTACAGAGGCTCAACTAGAATTTTTGAAATATATAACTTAGAAGTGGGTTTATCCATATTTTACGTCACCAGAGGGGAGCAATTTTAAGAAAAAAACGCCGATAATTATTTCAATTGGTTGTAAATGTGAATTTTTCAAAAATCATAGTTGAGCCTCTGTAAAGAGGTCTGAGCTATATACAGGCAAAATATTATTATAATAGAAACATTTTTCACAAAAGGAGAACATTTTGAAAAAAGATTATTCTAAGTTAATTTTTTGCCAAAGTATTGCATTTAAATAAATTTTTTTTGTCAAAATGTTCTTAAAACAATTTTATACATGTAGTCTAATCTAAGTGACACTAAATATCATGAAAATTATCCATTTATGCACTTTTTAAAATCGCGGTTCCGAACTTAGTCGGATACCTTAAGCACAAACTTTTATCATTCCTTTATGGAACTTAAAAAAACCGAAAGGGAAAATATCTGTTTATTTTTAATTAACTTTTGAAAATATAGTCATACTTTTCGGACACCCTATATATTATAAAATAGTCATTACCTGTGTATCAGCCAACTCTTGAAGAAAATTAGTTAAAAACAATTTCTAGTTTCAGCCCTTCAAGATCTTTTTTGATAAATTAAGGGCTTTCTTTAAAAACGGGAAATTAGCTCAAGAAAATGAAAATATAAGTATTTAGGAAAAGACACGAAAAGTGCACAATGTTTGAAACATTATGTAGTTGATAAAATAATTTTGACAAAAAATTCCATTTCATATTAATGGACATGTAAAAGTATGCTTAAGAGGACTGACTACATTCGAAATTATGATTTTGAAAGAGCGTAAAAATGGATATTCTTTTTTTTTAAAATTTAGTATCAGGTGAATTAGAATATTCGTATAAAAGTGTTTTAAGAAGGCTATCACACACACGAGAAAAAAAATTAAATGCAATTTATTCTTCGCATAAAAAAAGGTCGGAAGAAACAACGACATGTTTTGAAAACATTCTCCAAGTACAAAAAATGCTTCTGTAATTTTTTGTCTATGCATAGCCAAGATTTGTATACCGAGGTTGAAGTAGTAGTTTTGAAATACATAATTTAGAAGTGGATTTATTCATATTTTATTATATCAATAGATATTGTAACACAAAAACACCCGTTTTTATTTCATTTAATCATAACTGAAAATGAGAATTTTTCTAGAATTTTAGATCGACCACTGCATAGAAGTCCTAGCAATGTATAGACAAAATATTATTATAGTAGCATTTTTCATAGAAGGAGAATGTTTTGAATTTTATTCTATCTTCATTTGTTGCCAAAAAGTTACATTTAAATAATTTTTTATTCTAATATCCTTCAAAAAGTTTTATATGTATGTTCTAATTCATTTGACACTAAATATAAAAAAAGTATTCATCTATACGCTTTTCACAGATTAAGGCTCCGAACGTAGGTAGCCTCCTTAATTCAACAACAAAAAATTGGGAAATGTAAAGTTTTCTTTATTTCATTTGTGTGTGCTAGGAGTTTCAAAATTTCACACAAGGTTTCTGCATTTTAAAAGAATAAAATTTTAATCTTATCAATTTAAATTAAAACTCTAAATCATTATTAACCACTTACATTCAAATGATTACTGCTACACTGGCTGTGCAATAAGCTTCTACAGTCTTAGAGTTTTCCACTTGGAATTCTGGAAGAAGCAAAAAAAGCAAACAACTTATTCAGGATTTCTGTAATTACATCTGAAAAAAATTATTTGATTAATTACATTTGCCTAGTTAATTACGATCTGTAGTGAATGGAATGATTTGAAAAAAAAAGGGAAATGCAAACACCTTAAATTTTCCTTAATTAAATGGAAATGTTTATAAATAGAACTTTAACCTGTATTAGTATCTAATGAAAAGTTTAATGTTAAATTCCCTAAAATATTATTTTGTTCACTTTTCGAATAAACTATAGTTCTCTCTTGGGAAATAACTGATTTTTAAGAAGATACTTATAATTCATTTATTGTGCCTTAAAATTTGGAAAATGTATTGTTCCAAATTGGAATTTTTCTATCGTAAATAAATCCTTACTACTGTGGTCTCGTAGTCAAGGGGATCATGATCTCAAAATCGTGATTGGCGTTGTCTCGTCGTGGATTCAAGTTCTGCCAACGAAGACACACGGTGAATAGGAACTGATACACGTTAAACGGTAGAGGCTGAAATTCACTCGTTGGCTAGGTGTGGAAGTTTGGAGAGTGGTGTGCCAGCTAAGATGTCACCCTTATTACTTGACCAAGGCTCAGAATTACGAGATCTGTTGCCAATAGCACTCCCGTTGCTTGAAAGTGCGATATTGATAAAAAAATATTAAACCTTTGGTTATAAGTTTTGAATCGCGGATTACTCTTTGAATACCTAAACTTTTTTTTTTCAAAACGAAAATGATTAAATTAGCTTCGTTTGTTCTTGTCAGAAAAATGTATTTACATATTCCTTTATTATAATTTGTTGATAAATACAGTGAGATTTCTTTCTTTCGAGAAGACAAGTTTACCAGCCAATAATCAAGGCTGAATTGTTGAAATTTTAGCGGATAAGAAAGTATTATAAATGTTCCGAAGTTTCTCGATAGTGTAAATGGCTACTGCAATTCATGGTAGGTGAAATTTTTGTGGAGTGTTGTGCTCAAGTTTTCTAATTCCATTAAAGATTTACTCATGAAACAGCCAGCATGGCGGTGGATGAGTGGGTGCGTGCTCGCGGCTGGTGGTTTTGCAACCGAATCGTGAGTTCGAGTCCCAATGTCGGTAAATTCCAGTCGTGTAGTGAAGTAGACGTGTATATATATATATATATATATAGGCTAATTCTCTACAAACAAGAGATAACATCCAAACAATAACATTCGAAAAACACATAGACAGTAGGAAAATCACACAATGAAGGAATGAAGGACATATAAGTAATCGAGATTAAAAATTATAAAATGGATGTTGCAGTGTTATAAACATTACTGAGGACAGCTATTATATAAAATAATTTATATAAAAGTGGGGTTGAACATGTTTTTTGGCCAGCCAACCTTCCCCCTTTTTTATGTAAATAACACTGAGCAAAAACCAATAGAAAATAATGGATAGGAATATCTAAATCCATTATAAGATAGAGGTAACTTACCTAAAAACTGCACTTACAAATGCAAAAACCGCGCTAAATCTGAATGCAATAAATAAGTTATTGCCAGATTCTGGACCCTAATGCAGATTTAAATCCAGTGAAGGGCTGAAATGTAGCACTTAACAAAAGTATAAAAAGAATGGAAATAAAAATTAATAAGAGTTGCAAATTATAGCATAACTTTAATAACACTAGAGTAAATATGAATAAAATAATAAGTAAATTTATCTAATATTAGATTATGGAGATAACTATGAAATATTCAAGTTTATAGTAATAAACTATTATCAATCTCAGAATTTTAATCCTAAATATTTTGAATAGCTTTATTCATATTATTATTAATAATATTTATTTGGTGATATATATATTAAATCTGCTGAGACTCAAAATTCTCATTTCTA